CCCCAAAACCCCAAAACCCCAAAACCCCAAAACCCCTATCCTTTCACAAGCAATTGAAATTATGAGTGATCTTGGATAAATTTCAGGATTCTTTGGAAGTAAACTGCTTTGATTGTTGATGGCAGAGGGGACAAAAGGTTCTCTCCATCAATGTTGACTCACCAGGTATCGTTGTGTTCACCATTTTTAACTTCGAAGAAGTATTTCTTCTTGCTCCGAACAGCAGCATTGTACAATCTATCCATCTGTTTGGGAGGTATTAAGCTATCTAAAAACGTAATTGTGCAAAAATACCTTTTCTCCCGCTAATGAAAAAGATGGGGGTCGTAATCCTGTCAATGTTTTTGATAGATGGCCAACTATCAGGTATCAGGAAATTCACAAGTTTCGACATCACAGGTAGAATTACAGGAGTCATATCTCCTATAGGATTAAAGCACCAGCTTACTTATAGATCAGAAGGTGTTTTCTAAAATAATTCCTGCAATATCTTCTTGTCTTCTGTGGCAAAGATCAATGGCTACTGCACCTCCAAGAGATCTGCCGAATATAAAGATCTTTTTGTTATCAACATCATCGGATTTAAGACACCAGTTGAGGGCAGCTTCAGCATCTATAAATGTAAAAGAAGTCTGAGTTACCTTGTTTGAGGCCTCTTTCGTTCGGACTACCTTTGCTTGTTCCATACCCTCTGTAATCGATGATCAGAGTATTTACTTTTCAGTGGTAGTAAAAATACTTTATGTTGATAATACGATTTCCCATATTTCCTGCATTCCCGTGGAAGAATATTAATGTAGGGTACTTTATTGGATCTTCCTGCTTAATAAACCACCCACTTATTTTAACCTGATCTTTAGTGATAATCTCCAAGGAATCGAAATCAAATCCATATTCTCCAGGACTCCGCAACCCAGGTGGGTTATGGCAGGGAGCTTTCAACTCCCGTGAGGGAACATCTGGGACATATAATATCATATTCAGAATTTTCTCGACAAACCAGTGAAGAGTGGTTTTGAGGACCATCAAGGCAATGGTAATTTTAAACATGAACCACAGATTTTCGGATGTTCCCATTTTTAATATTCTAAATTCATCAACTAGATTTATTTGTAAGGGGTTTTGGGGTTTTGGGGTTTTGGGGTTTTGGGG